GCCGCTCTCGCTCTCTTCGCTCCGGTGTCTCCGTCGTCCCGGTGTCGATGGTTAAAAGACGCGTTCGCGCCACATCGGGCCGTTTCGCGTGTTCCGCGGCGAGCCACTCTAAACGATGAGATTTTCGTCGATGGCACCAGTTGGATGCGCTGCAGGCACACGTACACGTACACGCGCGCACGTTAGAGAGAAGCAGGAGCCGTATTAAAGTATTGCTCGGATGTTTTTTTGTCACGGCTTTTGCTTTGCTTTTACGGTCGCCTGGAACAATGACGAATCCCCGACGTCATTGTGCGCTGGCCCTTGCAGTTGGAGAAAAATGCAGAAAAGGGAAGAAAGCCCGGAGAAAGGAGAGAGAGAAATAGGAAAAGGTAGGCGTCGTGTGACAATCACTCGCCGCTGATTACACGGACCATTGTGCAAGGACAACGGAGTACGCGACGATAAAAGGGTTTCTCTCCTCTCGCTCTGCCAACGGAGCCGGATGATTCCGACGTCGGGACGAAAAGGCGAGGGAACGGCCGCGCGATCCAAACGCAGAAAGAAGAAAGAAGCGAGCGTGCTCGTTTCTTCGCTAAGCGTATTTCAGCGGTCACCTATCGGGCGTGTTTCCCGTCGTCCGTGCAATTAATTCGACGCGTCGTTCTTTTCGCTCCGCGCATTCCCATCCTCCGTTTCACGTTTTTCCGTTTCGTTTTCCAACTCCGCCGTGTATCGGGATAGTTGGCCGATGGCACAGGGGTTCGCGGAGCCCGACACGACTCTTTCCAGCTTGGATATATAACAGCATCGGGAAGAGCACGACGGATACACGCGTGGACTTTTGCCACCGACTGTACGTGGCAAAGGAGAAGGCGAGTCGATGCGTAGCGAACGACCTGCAGGTAGCTCGAATCGTATGGAACGAGGATGTTGACTTCTCTGGATCGGGAAGAAACCGGAAACGCTTAGACGCCGCGAATCGAGCAGGTAGGACAGGTAAAACGGGTGGGGCTTCCGTTTCGAGATCGTCGATCGAGATCGATTCACCGGTCGTATTTTCTTCGCAGGAAGCCTTTCGATCACCGGACGAGCCAACTTTTCACCGCACGGCTACGTTATCGTCGACTTTTAACGCTCGAAAGAAGCGGTTATACCGTTCTATCGATGTTATTACCTTTCCGATTAACTCGCTGCGCGATAGGAGCGACGCGAGCCGCGAGTGCCTTCGTTACGTATTTAATTAGCGCTGATCGATTACCGTCGATCGCCGCAATCAGACCGCGCCTACGAGATCTTCCCTATCGACTCGGATCGGAAACAGCGGATACGTTCCTCCGATAAAATCAACTTTGCCGATGTAAAACGTTCGACCTCGTTCGTGTTCCTCGACTTGAAAACGCGTTGAAAATGCGGATTCGCGACTGCCTTTGAACAAACTTTGAACGAATGGACAATGTGACTTGGTCGATACGCGCTGTCCTAAAATCTGTCATCGAGAGCGATCTGTTATCCAGAGGCTTTGGAATTATCGCGCCTTGGACAAGCACGCGTCTACGCGCAAGCAATCTCGCTAATAAGAACGATTAAATAGCGGCCATTCTCTCGTATCGCGTACGGCGATTCGCGACTCGATAACGAAACCTGCGAAAAGTAGGAAGTGGAAGAAAATAGCGCGCAACCGTGAGCAGCTTCGAGGTCGTAGAGGAGAAGAGGAAAAGGAAGAGAACGGAGAGGAAGAGAAGATCGGTGGTTAAGCCGCTTTTTGCCAAGTGGAGATGAGAAGCCAGGAGAACCGACCCGGTGAACCGAGGTCCCCGAGGACAGAACGGTACCCTGTGCCCTCCTCCTCCTCCTCCTCCTGCTGCTCCTCTTCCTCGTCGTACCACCTCCACCGCGGTTCCTCCTCTCGTCGCGCAGGCTACCGAGGAC